TGTGATTTGTAATATAGACGTGCTCTCAGTCTGAATTTGATTTGTTTTAAGGCGCAAGAGAGTGAAAAGAGGAACCCGAGCATGAGGTCACATCAGTTGTGGGAGTACTTTTTACTGACCCACTTTGAGCCTTCGCTCTTTCCCTCTGATCCAGAGAGATTTTGGTTGACCGTTTGACCATTGCAACTTAGATCTCACACGTTCAAATTTTCCTGTATGAAGATACAAACTGGTGCTGTACAGCTGCAAAACCATAGCTTTAGGAGAGGAATCATAAGACTGTGTTTCTTATCCAATGCGGTGTCAAATTAAATCATCTTGTTAAATGGAGGCAGTTCAAAGTGCTCAGATTGCTAACTAACTAATCTACAACGTATATGGAGCAAATGTTCCAGACGCAACATCGGGAAATGTCAAAATATGTCTCTGGGGTTCATTTGACATTTGGAATAATACACATAGACAAACACTTCCAAAATATTACATAACCTTAGCTAATGTACAGTTGTCCTGCAGGGAAGAGCATCATCTATCATCTATCTCCAGGTTTTGTGGTCCTATGTGGTGAACTCTTGAAGGATCGTTGTTGTTAACGCGATCCACCACTAGAGGACCCACGTGTGAGAAGTCACTGCTGGTCCTTTGAAAGGAGTGGCCAGACCTGTCAGCTTGCCTGGCCTTGACCGTGCACTTGGGAAGCCATCATTTATTTTTGGAGCCCTTGGCTGCATAGCTGCTGTGAGACTGGCAGAGGGTGAGGAGGGTAAGGAGGAAGGAAGAGATGCGGGGAGAGGGGAGGGGAAGCTGGGAAACTCGCGCCAGCGCCAGTGACACAAAAAGCATTGTCCTGATTTAATGGCTGTGAAGTCTCACCTCCCCCTGGTCCAAGGAGCTGCTGATGCTTAATTAGGACGAACAATCATTCAAAGACACACACAACAAATGGCGCGCACACACACACACACGCGCACCTCAGCCGAAGCCATGCCAGCCCTCTCCCAGCCCAGAGCAGATATGATTCACTTTCAGCTCTTCTGTCACAGGCCATGAGTTATGAAGACAGGACAGGTTCCTGTTGTAACCCGACATAGCATTCTAACTCTCCGTCCAATATGGAGACCATAAAATTGTCACCGGGCTTTAATGTGAAGAATTAAACCTCTGATGAGTCATCAAGTGTAAAATCAAACAGGCCATGGTCTGTGATTCATGAGTGTATAGGGAGATGTTCCTGTAATGACAAGATTAAAAAGCTAAAGAGCAGCGAGGGAGAATTGATCCTCAAATATGCCTTTTATGTGGCCTAACGTAACACTGTCACAAAGAGTTAACGACAGATACATGTGACTCAGCCGTTCTGACTTACGCACTGATGGTCGGCCGTTTATTACAATGTAGCAGGAGAGCAACACAGTTTATTTTAATTAGAGGGCAAGAATTCAGTTATTTTACGTGTGTTTTAAATTATCTTCATATTCTAGATATACTTTTATCCAATCACTGTTGCTACTGCACTTCTGAGAAGCATGGAGGGAAACTGTATCAACCATGTGATTACATCATGTATGAATTGCACTATTTAATATTTATTTAAGCATGTTTTCATAACCTTGGTCATAATGTGAAAAAACTTGCTTTGGAGTGATAATGGAACGTCTGAGAAGCACACTGAGAAGCTGACAGCATACCATGTGTCAGACTAGCAATACAGAGGTTTGGTCTTTAAACACAGGACCCAAACAAGCCCATTTCCCTTTTTTTTTGTTTGGGGTTCTGCTCGTTCTATGTTAAACACATCCACAAACTACAGATTAATATTTGACTGCATCTTTACTCAGAGAAATAAGGATGCAAGGCTAACTTGTGTGTAAACCCCCACCCAGATGTATGCCAAAATGCTCCTTCAGTGGATTTACATTCAAATATATTAAAATTCCCTTCTCCATTATCTGAAAATGCATATTTCTTAATTATTCATCGCAAGGCATTGAAGCACCCAGGTCTTTTAAATTTTTTATTTCTGTTCAGCTTCAAACAGGATATCTTGTAAAAAGGACCCAGTTTTAGGGTGTGGGAATTGCTTCGGGGTGAAGCTGACAGGATTTTCAGTCTCGAGGCACCTCTCCCTTTTTCATTACAGCGAAGCAAAGGAACAAATCCAGGTCAATTAAAATGAGGAACAAGAGGGCTGAATGGCTGGCTGGGAGGGAATTCAGCACCAATACCTGCCACAAGAGGGCACAAGGGGCTTACGTACGATTCTTGAGAACAGAAAAAAAAAAA